GTAGCTAGGATTACAGATGTGAGCCACCGGCGCCTGCCTCTTGCCTCTTTTTTGAAAGTACTTCTTGGTCTTTCCCTACCTCTGATACACTGCGCCCTATAGCTGTGGCATGTGCTCATGAAAATAACTGGGCTGACAAGATGGCACCACTGCTTTCATCCTGACTACACATTGGGTCTGAATTTCTTTCTTTAGGAGCCTCTTTTTTCAAAGGCTCCCAGGTCTTTATCAAAACAAGCCAATGTGTTTTCTCCTACCCATAAAGAGTCCACTTCCTATCTACCTCATATTCATAGGCAACACAGTTTTGACTGTAAATCTATTTCCATTAGAGTCTTGTTTCCCTCAGGGAAATAGATTCAGGGAGCTGTTTGTGTACCCTCATCCCCAAACAAATACTTTATAGTTTCTTAGACATGACCCAAAATAGGGTAAAAAAAAGTGTGCAACTGGCACACTTTTATTATTAACTGCAGTGAACCATTTTCCAACCTCATTTCATTTTCCTTAACCTCCTCACATTCTCCCTACATAGATGTCAGGAAACTAACTATATTTAAAAAAATCACCTTTGTACTTTGGGGCTGGAGAAGAATGATCAGAAACACAGTAGATGTCAGGAAACTAACTATATTAAAAAAAATCACCTTTGTACTTCGGGGCTGGAGACGAATGACCAGAAAAATGTGTGTATGTGTTTGTGTGTGTGAATACACATATGAGAATACTTTGACATAATCAAGTTCTTTTGAATAGTTGAGTAATTTTTATATTTTATGCTAGGCTTTCAGGCATTAAATAAGGACTAGAATGTTTGACTGAAGTTCTAAAGTCTTAAAACATTTGGTATTCCAATTTTCACTACCTTGGTTAAATGCTTTAATCGTATTATGCCATTTAAAAAAATGAATTAGTATCCAGAGTTTAATATTTGTAAATTTATTATGAAAATCCATCCAGTATAACAATATAATAGGGTTACTAAAATTAGAGTGGCTGAAAGGAATCAGAAAATTTCTACTTTCTTCTGCTTTGAAAAAAATTATGGTAATCAAATGGTTTATATTACTAAATAGTACAAAACATCCTCCCCTCCCCAAATGGCATGTAGTTAAAATCCAGACTTCGCTATTATACTTTGACTCTGTGAGCTAATACAGGACAGGTAACATCCATACTTATCTATTCTTATCTACTAAGTCCATCATAGTCCATAATATTTGTTAGCATCTTCCTAAAAACAAAACCCAGAGTTATCAATAATGACTTGCCAAGATTTCCTGTTTCCAGCCAAGATTTAGTGAATGACTGTGATAGGCACTATAGGAAAGCATGATAAATCACTATCTCCCTGACTTCAAGAAGTTTTGGTCTCAGAATAACTACTATAGTGCACTGTATGAGGGCCAGAGTAGAGGAGCGTGCAGAGAGGCTGGAAGCCAAGAGGAGGGATACTAATCTGTTAGGAAAAAGGACAAGGAAGTTTACCAAGATCTCTACAGGGTTTTTTCAGGCACTAGTTAATTTAGGTTCAAAGTTAAAACTCAGTTTCTACACTGTAACAATGTAATTTTGCATTACCTTTTTATGTACATATATTATGTAAGACATAATACATTATGTACAATGTAATACATAATACATTGCATATTTCATAAGATTTCACATTATGGTGAGCTTCCTCATAAATGTGGAAACATTATTTGCCCCTTCCTATTGCCATAATCCACGATGCTAGTAGTGCCATTTCACACTAAAGGCCTGCTGGGAACTCCAGCTTTGTTCTGGATGAATTACTTTTCCTTTAATATTAGGTGCTGATGCCAAAATGACTACTTGGTATTATACAAATAATTTTTCTACAAGTTATATTATTGCCTCTTAGCTTTCTTTTTATTCAGCATAGTAGTTTCTAACTTCAAAATTACTCTTTGAGCATAGTTTCTTTCCTTTTAAAATAGGAAGTGAACTCAGTGTGTGTGTATGTGTGTGTGTGTGTGTGTGTGTGTGTTATGTGTGTGTGTGTTATGTATGTGTGTGTTGTGTGTGTGTGTGTGGTGTGTGTGTGTGGTGTGTGTGTGTGTGTCCCCATCATGGGGTATGAACTCAGTTCCTGGGTGCTGTCCCTAAGTTTTTGTGCTCAAGACTCTACCAGTTGGGTCACACTTTCATTTTTGGCATTTTGGTGTTAAATACGTAAGAGTCTCATGGACATTTTTCACCTAGGTTGGCTTTGAGCCATGATCCTCAGATGTTGCCTCCTGAGTAGCTAGCATTATATGAGAATCACCAGCACCCAGCTGAAAAGTAAACCTTTTATTCTGATATTATAATCTGCATTAAAAAGAATCCAATCTTTCAAAATAACTTTCAGCAATATGTGAGTGGAAATGTATAACATGATAAGATCACTTCACACATGGCTGACTAAACTATTGGAATATTATGGAGAAATTAGATTAAGATATCAATGTCTTGCCTACTTAATTTTAGTGGCAATATTTTAGTAGACTACTGCATTCTTTTCTCAGTGAGAGTTCTGAAATGATCTTCAAACAGTGTGAGCATTCTCCTTCCTTTATTCCTTAATAAAATTTGGAAGGACAAATTGTTCATGTGTATACGACAACAATATTTCCTTATTAGACAATATTTTAAACTATTCTTGTTATTTACTCAGTTATTTTACTCAGTTTCTTTTGAACTAAAAACCGATGTTTTAATTCAAATATTCTGGAAATTACTTCAAAGTTTTTGACAAAATGTGAGTAAGTTATAACATATAGAAGTTTAACATATCATGTAGAATTGCAGGAATCATTAAGGAATCATTCTTTGTGGCTATGTGAAAAACAGACTCAGATAGGTAACTTCAGTTGCTCTGCCTCTGTAATTTTGTTATTAGATTATACTTAAAAACTATCGCACAGCCCATCCAGAAAAAAATCATTATGCACAATTATGAGTAGATATAGCTATAGATGCTTAACAAATAACCTTCTCAGAGGACAACACAGAGACAACTAGCCACCAGGTACCTCTTCCAGTTTTGAAGCACCGTCATACTGTTGCTGTTTTATTTTTAATTGTGTGTGTATGGGTTGGTTTACTAGATGTTTATCCAGTTTCTGAGGATTTTTTTCCAATGCAATGACTTTTACATAAGAGCTGATAAAAAGTTATAAAGAGAACTAGATGTTAGAAGTCATAAAACACTGAAGTGAATTTCAATAATTACACATCATCTAGATTTTGAAAGTAGAACCTATATCTTGTAAATAATGATATTGATCATATAGGATGACTTAGGGTGCTCCTTTAAGAGAAAAAGTTGTCCTTTAAGAAATTCATCAAGAGTTTTTCAACTTCAAAACTCTATGACAGATGAACCTATTTCTCTCAAGTTGCATACAATGTAGTACAAGGCTTAAGGTTTTTCAACTTACTTATCGGTTTACAAAAATCTATTTGGTGCCCTCTAAACAACAGTTAGCAAGTCAAGCAAGTCAGATGTCTAGAAATCACTCTCAAGTTAGAGGTCAGGCCTTGTATATGCTGCTTTCTGAGCCTCCAGTTGGTATTTGAACTTCAGGAAAAATCATAAATGTTTCCAAATGGAAAAAGTGCTATGACCCAATTTCTCTGTGCACATGTACCATTTACTTTACAACCTTGAAGCCTGATAATAGAGAGTGCTTCATCTTGTTTTCTGGGCTGGCAGCATTTGCCATGCAGGTAGAATACATGCAGGTAAAATTTCATACCGTGCTAAATCACAGCATTCTGAAAAACTCAGGGCCTTGCAAAAGGCCATATCTCAAAAAAGTTACAGCCTCAAATAAATGTGCCATTTTATAAAATTACACCTCCTGTATCAGAAAAAAAATATTCCTTCATGTGAGTGACATTTATATGACTGCCATTTATAGAGAATAGGACATTTTCACACAGTGAGGCTGAAGAATGGTTCTCGAAAACCCAGTGCATTCGCAAAATGATAAATGTGGTAGAACTTTAAAACGTTCATGTGGGAAGAGACACTCCTTCCAACAGCTGGGCTAGTTGTCTTATAAAAATGAAACCTGCATTATTATGAAAAACAATTACACCGTTTTACCGTTACCATTTAACAAGACTTTCAATGTATTTTAAATCTGCAATATTCTAAATTACATGGCTTTTCATCTTACTAAAGCTGATTCTGGGTCATCCGGACCAAAAGCCTTTAATTTTACATCCATGGACATTGAGGCTGGGATATTGAGCTTCTAGTTGTAACTAGAAATAAAATTTTCCATCCCATTCCCCTTGCTCCAAACAATTAGCTGCCCTGGACACACTTATCTTTGAAAGAAAATGCTCAAGTTACCACTCAGAGCAAAACAAAAAACAAAAACACCACCTAAACTAAAATGATCTTATCATCCACCTGTCTCCGGACAAAGAATCAAGACTTTATTTTCTCTTCGCAGAAAGTAACATTAAAAAAATTTTTTTCCCCTTTATAGAAGCAATTGCTATAGTGCTCAGTGAATTTAAATCAAGATAAAGGAAGAAAGAAGTTCCAGGTCTCAGGGCAAACTTCAGCTCTAGTTGAAGCAACAGACTCACATCTGGACTTTGAGATTGTCAAATTCACATTTTTTTAACCAGGCTGCCTTTGAAGGGCGCCACAGATTTGCACCCGTGCAGAACTAAGATCGAAAACGGAATCCAACCCCCCTCTCTTCCTTCTTGGTGTTTCTCTGCACCCTGGGACAGTGAAATGGTGAGCCATGCACAACTTCCGAAAGCTGGAAGTTTGCTGAATTACCTAACCGACCTCCGCGCGGCCTGGGCTGCCTGGGCTGGAGGGGTGCCAGGGCGCCGGTGTTTCCAAACACTTTCTCCACTGTGCAAGCGGGCTGCAGAGTGAGGTCCTGGAAACAGGGGCTCCGGGTGGGCAGTGGGACCGGGCCACCTAGGAAAGGCAGGGGGCCACATCCAGCCAGGTGACCCACCTGCGGAAGGAAGAGGCGCCTCCGGGCTGAGTCTCCGCGCTGCAGTCGCGATGCTCCCCAGCCAGGCCCGCAGAGAAAAGCTTCGCGGGGTTTCCAGCCAGGAAACGCGGCTGCAGGCAGGCTTTGCCTGGTTTAAGAAGGCAAGAGAAAAAGAGGGAGGGCCCGCGAGATTTCGCAAGAGAAGGGGTGAAGAAAGGTTTCCAGGAAGAGTTCAGACCGCCTGGGATTCCCGGGCAGCTGGAAGGACCTGCACTTCCTGTGCGGATCTTGCTTGCAGATGTTGTTGCTTACTCCCAGAGAGGGATTGGGGTGTAGCAGGGTTTTTCCCGAGCCCCTGGGATCTGTGCATCGCTGGCTGATTGCCGCTTGGAGAAGCAGAGGACAAACCCTTTCCTGATCCCAGCCAGAGAAGTCTCTGAGAAGCTGAGAAAATACCATCTGGACTTGCTTGTCTTTCTTTCTCTTGTCTGTTCTTCAGAGTAAAAGGTGTCATCATGTACCTCTCTACCTGGAAGGCCTGGGTTCTCATGGGACTCAGAGTTTGAATGAGCTGGAGTTCTCAAGTCTTAATGCAGGTAGATATATCACTTTTAAAAGAAAAGAAAAAGAAACATGTGCCTGGGCGCGCAATCCTAACTGCCCAGAAAGCTGAGTAGTCTTGGCAGGAAAGTCCTGAGACTCTTATCTCCAATTAACCACCAGAAAGCTGGATGTAGAGCTGTGGCTCGAGTGGTTGAAGTGTTAGGACACCAGCCTTAAGCAAAAATAAATAAATAAGTAAATAAAATAAAAAATAAATAAACAAAAAATTAAAATGCTCAGAAACAATGCTTAGGCCTTGAGTTCAAGTTTCAGTACTGACACATACCTCCCACAACCTCCCCCCCAAAAAAAGTAAAGAAAAAAACCCCCCAAACTCAGCCCTTCATAAAACAACCATCACAAGAACCAAACCAAACCAAGCAAACTCAAACAAATAAAACACAATAAAACAAGGATGAGGAGATCTTATCATGTACTGAGGACCATCTGTTTCTACAAGCATTTGTTCCAGAACTGCCCTGTACAACAAAATCCTGGAAAGCTCAAGCCCTTTGTATAACATATTTTAAATTATCTCCAGGTAATTTACAAAACCTATTACAATGGAAATGCGGTATAAATACACTATATTATATTGTTTTAATAATAAAAACTGTCTATGTTCAAAACTGATGAAAACATGTCTTTCTGAATATTTTGGGTGAATTTACACAGTGGACATTCTCAGATGCCTAGAACTGAATGTATATGTAATTGGGTTTGTGTGTCTTTCTGTACAGGACTTGTTCAAAAGCCACATCCACATAGTATAATATTTAAATAATCATAGTAATCTCACAGGCAAAGCACTCCTCCAATCATAGTAATCTCACAGGCAAAGCACTCCTCCAGTCATAGACCCTCCAGTCTGAAACATAGAGGCCTCCCAGTAAGTGGTTCATTTGGCCATCTGGTTGTAAATTCCATGATGTGCTTGCCAAGGTCCATATTCCCAGTCAAATGTAAGGAATGTTTCCAGCACTTCAGAGCCAACCTCCCGTCTCCCTGACTCGTACCTCTCCCTAGGGCATCTCTTGGGTCAGTTTAGAGCCTATGTCATCGAAAAAGTCTTCCCGGAACCACTAGTTGTAATCATTTTTTTTTTCTTTCTTAATTTAGTATAGTTTATATATTTAATATGGCAGTTAGGATAGTTTGCCTCTCAAGAGACTTATTTATATATTCCTCTTCTGGTACACAAGCTCTAAGGGTTGGCACCCTATCTGAATTCACCACACTTAGTACAGTCCTTGGCACTAAGAAGTATTTATCACATTCATTAACAAACCTAATGCCAAAAATAATATTTTGCAAAGAGTTAATCTGATAGGAATCTTAGACCAGAGAAAACTTAAAGAAGGTATTCGTTGATGTCGTAACATCTAATTGTCCTAGGTTGAAGACATAGGTGAAAGAAGAATAATTACCTAGGGAAGAATGCTTGTAAATGTGCTCCTAAGAGGCTCTGTGATTGGTCAATGTTAGTAGATAAGTGCTTTGCTAAGATCTTTTGGCACTGACTTTATACCTTGCGTGTATGACAACTTGATTCTCCACACATGGATCCTGATGTTTATAATCACATTTGTCACTTGCTGATGGAGCAGAAAACAAACAGATACAGTGAAAACAGACAGTTGTGGATAACACCAGATATTTGGGACCCGCATTCTCTTCCTTAGGATTCTTCTTGTGTAAGCCATTTTTAAATCTGTAAGGATGCTGCAGGGTGGTGAGTCACAGGATTCCAAAATTTATTGGCACCTGGTTAAGAGAGTCAATGATATCTGTGGCACCATAGCTTAAAATAGGTCACAAAATAAATTACCCTTATTTGTTAATTTAAGAGGTCCTTAACTTATTTTGTGGTTTGTGAACTCAAGTTGTGTGAAGATGAAAAAGATGTCTCTATACTAAAGATCCTGCATGTAACCTCAGTAGAATAACTTAATTGAGGAGAAACAGAGTATAGTAGGGCAAGAACCAAAAATTTTTGGGCTACATTTAGCTCTTTTTAATAGTCATTTCCTATCCACCTATCTGACCTAATATTCTCTTGACTATTAGTAGATAAAATTCTTAGATGTTATTATTATGTCTGTTCAACCTACCCTCCACTGACTGTAAGAATGTGTTAAAGACCACATCTAAATCCCACAGATTTCCATCCTTGAGGTAGCTGATGACCTGACCTATGTTACTGTATAAAGACATTGCTTCATGACTCTTTCCTGTGGTTACAGGAGTTCTTGTAACTTTTCTCATGGTGGGACACATCACTCAGGAGAACTTGAATCCCTGTTCCCGAGCCATCGTCATATGTGCCGCTCAACCAATGACTTTCTTATTTTCTCAAAGTGGACTTGAATTTCCACTTAGTTCTAAGAGAGACACTCATAACTTTTAGTTTTTCCTTATACCCTTGTTGTAGAGGAATATCAAGCTTTTTTTCTTTTCTTTTCTATGACTCGCTTTCCTTTGGTTTGGGTCTTGTTTGCTCAATACCCTTTACCCCCGCCTTTCATTGTTAATGGGTACTGGCCCTGCAGTTGATTGACTTGATGGTTATTATCATATCTACAGGAAATCTTTATTACCAAATCTACAGGAAATATTTAAAAACTTATTAACTAAATTCTTATTGGTAAAGTACCTTTTACCAATCTTCCAGCAGAAACTAACAGCTTACATTTATGGAACAGGTCAGTTTGGTTTGGTTCCAGTCTGAGTTGACTTTTGGACAAGCATATTACCAGATATAGCCTCTAACTACTAAAAGAATCATACCTTTATAGATTTATCACTATTAGGTAGATGAAAAATTTTAGAACATGCTTGTTATGAAACACAAATATATCTTAGTTATGTAAGTTCTTTTCTTTGCTGAAGGCAATCAAAGTCCCAGAAAAGATATATTAAATTACTGGGATATGAAGGATGGAACTTCATGTCAGTACTAAACTTAAAAGGCATTTGACTTTTCTTGTGGTTTAAAGATTGATTTCCCCCTTCGGCATAGGGAGGACATACAATTCATAACTCTCCTAGTTTCTCTTTAAACCTTGCTGTAGGGAAAAATTAAGCTTCCAAAAGTTGCCAGTAACCTGAGTAGTCAAGGATTTGGTATTGGCAGGATTCATCCTTCTTTCTGTAGTTATGTTCTCAGAACTCCGTGATTATCTTCCCAGAAGTGATGCAGCCTCAAAGTCTTCCTGCTTAGGAATTTCCACGTTTACTCTGATTCGGTGAGTGTTTCCTGCTACTTCTAGCCCTGGAGGTTGCTTACTCTATCAATACAAGTATGGGGCACTATTACTGACTTAAATTTGCCCCCTACTTGTTTGAAGGAAAGGAAGGAATGAAGGAAGGAAGGAAGGAAGGAAGGAAGAAAGAAAGAAAGAAAGAAAGAAAGAAAGAAAGAAAGAAAGAAAGAAAGGAAAAGTAAGGAAAGGCAGGCAGGCCAGGTGATGGTGGCTCACGCCTGTAATCCTAGCTACTTAGGAGGCTGAAATCTGAAGATTGTGGTTCAAAGCCAGCCTGAGCAGGAAAGTCTGTGAGACTCTTATCTCCAATAAATCACCAGAAAACTGTAAGTGGCAATGTGGCTTAAGTGGTAGGGTGCTAATCTTGAGCTGAAGAGCTGAGAGACAGTACCCAGTCCTCCAGAGTTCAAGTCCCACAACCAACAACAACAAAAAAAGAAAGAGAGAAAAGAAGGAAGGAAAGAAAGAGGAAGAAAAATAAATGGAAATACTCTTTGAGAGGTTTCTGCTTAGGTTAAAGAAATGAAGCTCCAATTATGAAATAGTAGGAAGTTCAGGCCCTCTAGGAGCTATTTTTGAATATGGATGTGATGAATATTTTATCTATTTCTTGGCCAGAATTAAAGTGAGGCGAGGAAAGAGACTAGGGCCCATAGAGGAGACACTTTCAAAAATATACCCTCCATGGGGCTGGGAAGGTGGCTCAGTGGTAGAGCACTTGCCTTGCATGCCTGAGGCCCTGGGTTCGATTCCTCAGCACCACATAAGCAAAAAGAAAAAAAGCCAGAAGTGGCACTGTGGCTCAAGTGGTAGAGCTCTAGCCTTGAGCTGAAGAGCTGAGGGACAGCGCCCAGGCCCAGAGATCAGGCCCCATGACAGGAACCCCCCCACCCCCCCACCCCCTGGCCAAAAAATACCCTCCATGAACCTGAAAAGGAATGCCTTCAGTTTTGCTTCTTTGGTACCTCAGTGTTGAATTGTGGTCTTGGCTCTGCAGCATCCCTTTTCTTTTCATAAACATCCTTGCACAAATTTGGTTCTTGTGTTGAGGCTTGAACATAGTAATTGGTTCAGTGATGGCATGTGATCTGAGTGAGGGCAAACATAAATCTTTCTTGAAATATCCTGTAAAGCAGTTCACTGTAGAATATGAACCACTAGGATATAAACCTAGGTTGCCATGAAAAGAAAATGAGCCCCCAAAGAAGCTTCTTTAAGCAAAAGGAGAGCAAAGACATGGGAAGAGACAGACTTCTTAAGTTGCTGGAACTGCAT